TTTATTATATTTATAAATAATAATACTACTATTAATTATTTGACAATCGGGATAAATTGGAAATGATGTTAAACTTAGATTTAAGGTAAATAAATGTAACATAACTTTAAAAATGCATTTCTTTATGCATAATAACACTGATAAGTACCACACGCAATTGGAAAATAGAAAAGAACACTTTTTTATTGTTTCACTTTAAGGAGTTTCACGTTAATAAACTTTGCTAAAGTTTTTCAATAGCTAATAGGGCCTTCAAATAACCGAACTAGAATAAATTCCATGCTAGTAGAGTTATAGATATAATTATATAATTTCAAGACTTGCTTGACTCGAGACATTGTTGAATCTCTAGCTCACATTGCAACGATTCTTGGAATTGTTTAAAAGACATTTGCCCAAAACTTATATCATATCAATAAGTTATTAATTTGAATTTTTACTTATTAATTTATCTTTACCAAATACTGATAAAAGATATATATATATTTGTTTTAATAATTTATAGAGTTTTAAGAAAAATTAGTTTATCATCTCTTTGTTTTTAAGATAAAAGCTAATATTTACTGGTTACATTTGGATATTAAGTAAAGAATATNAATACAGCACTAATTTTATACATTTCTTGTGAAAGAAACACTTCTTATTCAACGGCCATAAAAATTATTTATATTAATGATGTCTCCAAAGTTCAACGAATTTTTCGCAGAAAAATAACTTATCAGAAATCGGCCGTGGTTTGGTGCGCTGCTCCGCGACGAAAACAAGCTTTGAGCAACGGCGTAGTCGAACGGTACACACTGGGTAAGTAATCCTACAATTTTTGTTTATAGCATAGTTTATACGGATTATTCCCAAAAAATTATACGTGTTTTGGAAATGTTGAGTCGAATTAGTCTAGAATCGATTAATTTTATGGAAGAAAACCTTTCAAGTAGCCGTAGTCCGTAAACTTCACGCGTGTGGGGCTGCGATTGGCTCATGTATTTAAGGATTCCTACAACGTGAAATTCTTATAAAGTGGAACGTATCTACCACGTTATAGGGGGTCTACTGTAATTACATTTTAAATTAAGAAGCTACTTATATAATAATTCCATTTTCTTTTGTTTTGGTATGAAGAAAATTTATTATTGATTTTGGCTAAACATTTGAAATAAAAGTCTGTAATTACATTTAGAGAATCAAACATTTTACTGAAAATTCTACATTTACTGTGAAATCTTGATTCAATAGATTAAAATGCAGAAAAATTATTCCGATTTAAAATTTTGTCTGTCAAATGAAAAAAGTACATAATTGACAAATTATAAAANGGGTTTATCGCAAAAGTAAGATACAACTTACATTTAAAAAATTAAATTAGCCATTTGAAAATACACAATTAAAGCTATTTTTATACATAGTAGCCATTCTTTCCTAAACACTTTTCCCAATGGGAGACAAGGACAAACATTCCTTTCTAAAAAAATCCCACTTAATGATTTGAAAAATCCATGACCGCATCTTTAAATGAAGAATTTTTCTCTAAAAGTGTTTAGATAAGAATGGAGACTATGAAGAAAAATTGCTTAAACTATACTTTAAAAAATTAATAGCAAATTATATTCAAATGACTAATTTAAGTTATTTTAAAAACTGTACTGTACCTTACTTATATAAATTTAATCAACAGAAAATAAATATAACAAAAGATATAGGGGAGACCGGGGCAAGATCGGCATGTTAAGCTTTACTTAAATTTTGTGTAATAAATACTGCTGTAAACTGAAAAAAAAGCTTTGCATATTGTCTATTGGAATGTTACCTTACTATAGAACTGGTTAAAATCAGTTTGGAAATAAAAATAATTAAAATAATTACAACTTTACAAGAAGAGAGAAATTGACGAAGTTGCCCCGGGTATAGGGGCAAGATCGGCAACTTCTCTCTTTTTGTAAAGTTGTAATTATTTTAATTATTTTTATTAAAGTTGCCCCTGGTATAGGGGCAACAGTAATGGGGCAAGATAGGCACGTATATAAAATTATGTTATTAACAATGTATAAGTTGGAATTCACTATTAAAACAAAGAAATACAAATCCAACACCCATTTAATATTATTACAACGAAATGCAAGTTCAAAGACATATATACATGAATAACAAATGCAAACATGTTTTCATTTATCATCTGTTTGATTTTTATCCTTTGCTTCTAATGTGGCTTTATGTTGCCGATCTTACCCCGCTAGTCATGATTTCGAAACATTAAGTACAACCCTGAGAACAGAATGCCAAGCCACGATCTGGCCACGTGAATAAGTTGAAGTTACATCCTTCTAACAGGAAAAGTAACTTTCGTTATCATGGAATTATAACAAAACCTGCCAATTCAATATAAATGGAAAAAAAATATTATATGGAATTGAACGAAAATGAAAATTTGCTTGATAATTCAACTACGCTTGTTGGAGAACAATAAAAACACTACACTCAACAAGCCACCAATAAAACTCAACTGCCTAACCTATAACCAAAGTCTCCTTTTAATTTGTTTTTTTAAAAAAGCGCTTGACAAACTTGCCCCGCATGCCGAAGTTGCCCCGGTCTCCCCTATATCTCCATTTTTTGTCCTTTTTGAGCTGGGAAAATTATCAATCAGTTCGTTGCAATCAACCTTATTTGAAATGTCATTCTCGATGTATAATATTGCCAAATTACATATGCAGAGTACATACAGAATAAAATTCGCAATGTGTGTGGGGAAGATGCATCAAACATGTCAAATGTGATTTAAAAAGTTCCGTTCGGTAAATTTTGAACTAAAGGATACAGAACGTACGAAGCGTCCAAATGCTGTCGTAAAGAAAAATTGTAGGAAAAAATTGCTAAAAATCGACGAACAACATATAAAATATATAAGCAAACATCAAAAATAAAGCGAAAAAGCACCGAAAACATACGAGCGTAACGCAAGAGCGAGGAGAGACAACTTGGGAGCACATCAGATTACATTTACGCTTCGAGCGCAGTTTTTCCACTGCACGCGCAGTTCTAACTTTGAAGCATCGTTCGAACTCCTAAACGAATTTTTGTCGAATTTAGAGTTCGAACTCTGAAGCATTCGAAGCTAGAGTCGATAGAAGCAGTATGGTGGAATCGGTAAACAAAAAGTTTGACTCCGACTTCGGCAAATTTGCAATGTGTAAAAGTCGTACTAAAATTGATGGTGAGAATAAACGGATATAAAGAGTTTACCTTAGAAAAACTTTCAAAACACACTACATCTTAACAACCAAAATAATTCAACTTTTATTAATTAATTATGAAAAAGTGATTTAAATTTAATTATTTTCAAGAAAAAAATTCATTACAGTAAGACACAAAAAGTAGCAATTTGACGAATGATGTAATAAATTGGTCCGTAAAATAGTTTCTCCCACTTCGGCTTCAACGAAAATAGTTAATTTCATGCCGATGGTTGACTAAACTTAAGTATACATAATTATAATAATAATACTATATTTATTATATTTATAAATAATAATACTACTATTAATTATTTGACAATCGGGATAAATTGGAAATGATGTTAAACTTAGATTTAAGGTAAATAAATTTAACATAACTTTAAAACTGCATTTCTTTATGCATAACAGCACTGATAAGTACCACACGCAATTGGAAAATAGAAAAAAAAAAACACTTTTTTTATTGTTTCACTTTAAGGAGTTTCACGTTAATAAACTTCGCTAAAGTTTTTCAATAGCTAATAGGGCCTTCAAATAACCGAACTAGAATAAATTCCATGCTAGTAGAGTTATAGATATAATTATATAATTTCAAGACTTGCTTGACTCGAGACATTGTTGAATCTCTAGCTCACATTGCAACGATTCTTGGAATTGTTTAAAAGACATTTGCCCAAAACTTATATCATATCAATAAGTTATTAATTTGAATTTTTACTTATTAATTTATCTTTACCAAATACTGATAAAAGATATATATATATTTGTTTTAATAATTTATAGAGTTTTAAGAAAAATTAGTTTATCATCTCTTTGTTTTTAAGATAAAAGCTAATATTTACTGGTTACATTTGGATATTAAGTAAAGAATATCATTTGCTTTCCGAAGTTATAAAATTTTAAGTATAACCACTAAAAATTTATAAAAATAAAACTATAAATGATTAACAATTTTCATTAGGGATAATCGAACTAATTTCATATCAGATTGGTAGCGGATGGTTTATAACGGTTTGATCTTAAGAAAACAAAAATTGCAGACGAAATTTGGCACATCAGCATAAAAATGATAATGTGGTGATTAACAAACAAAAAAAGAAATCAGTTTACTTTTTTCTGGGTTTAGTTTTAAAAAAGTTTTTTCTCGTAGTTATACGCTAAAATATTTAAACAAATTAAAGTTGACAAGCTTTTGCAATTAAAGAAAAAAATTGTATGTTTTATCTAAAAGCAACATTATAAATTTAAAAAGATTATTTTTAATTAAACTATACAAAAAGATCCGAATTATAAGCTATAGTTTTGTTTCTGCTTGTCTATGGGGTTTATTACAAAAGTAAGATACAACTTACATTTAAAAAATTAAATTAGCCATTTGAAAATACACAATTAAAGCTATTTTTATACATAGTAGCCATTCTTTCCTAAACACTTTTCCCAATGGGAGACAAGGACAAACATTCCTTTCTAAAAAAAATTCCCCACTTAATGATTTGAAAAATCCATGACCGCATCTTTAAATGAAGAATTTTTCTCTAAAAGTGTTTAGATAAGAATGGAGACTATGAAGAAAAATAGCTTAAAGTATACTTTAAAAAATTAATAGCAAATTATATTCAAATGACTAATTTAAGTTATTTTAAAAACTGTACTGTACCTTACTTATATAAATTTAATCAACAGAAAATAAATATAACAAAAGATATACTACATGAGTGTCTTATAAGAGAAGACTAAGAAACTAATAAAATAATCAACTATTAAATTAAATCTACTAAAAATAAATTAATTAATGTTATTTGAAGTTAAAATACTTACTGTAGTTCCTGACGTTTCGCCACTGCTAATCAATACTGCTATATTTTCCATTTTACTAAATTTTCCAGATAATATTGCTCTGAAAAATTATAAAAGCTATTTTTTTTTAATGTTATGAACATTAAAATTCTAATCGCCTTTCAAATAAGTACATTATATTTCTTAAATATGACACTTTAATCTCAAGTATTTAAATTTTAGAATTTTAATTTCAGTTTAGAAAATGTGTTTATTCTAATATTACAAACATTTACATAATTTTTAACTAAATTTTAATTACATAATTTAGAATAAAAAATGATTAAAAATAAATCCGACTTTTTTGCCTATTGCAAGTTTTATTTTTATCATGGTTCATAAATATTTGATTTTTAGTAAAATAAAAATATTCTAAGCTAATTTAGTTTTATTTTGTACACAATTCTATGAGAATGTAAATCATTTTAAAAAATGCGCCAGAAAAAAATTTTTACAATTTTAATCTAAATCTACATAGAATTAAATTAATTTTTGGTAGATAGATCATCAAAAATTCAAATAAATCCTAATAAAACTGTAAACTAATTAAAATTCTTGCAATATAAACACCATTTTGTGATATTCAAATTTTTAATAACTTAGATGGGGTTGGGTCTTCCGGTAAGTTGACAGCTTGCGACTGGTTGAGCGCTTGCAAGATTAAAATATTTCGTTTAATTCTATTTAACACCTCATAGTCTGAAGTTTTGATTGAGATAACTGTTGGCGTGACATCAAAGCCAAGTATTTAATACACCTAACAAGATGAGTAACAGAATTCGGATGTTCTTCTTTTCTATATTAATAACTTAGATTTAAACTTTAAAATTTTGATTGATGGAATGAAGCGATCTGCCAAGAGGAAAACCCGTCCTGTGAGGACTTTCTATGAAAAAACTGATACTTAAATAGATGCCAGTTTGACATGGGCATCCGCAGAGAAGACAAATAGGACACTTGCTTCTCCATACAATCGAGTAAAAAGTCCACAAATTATAATCGTAAAAGTGATNTTAAAAAATGGAAAATAATTATATCATTTGATTTCAAGATATTTTGTATAACTTAAAAATAATTAATTCTATCCCGGGATTTCCCGGGATCCCGGGAAACAGTTCACTTTTATCCCGGGATCCCGGGACAAGCAAAATACCGGGAAATGAGAAACCCTAGTTCTGGGGGACCAGTGATCAAATCCGGATGGGTCAAGGAATCCCCCAGAGTTTTTCGGAGGGAGGTCAGTTCAGATGTATCGGGCCCCGTCTCTCACCACCCGGTCGCCCCATTGTGGGTCTGACTGAACCCATAATGGATCTGCTATAAGAGGCCCTCTCAGTGCCCACAGGGCGGAAAGAGTATTAAAATAATATATATATATATATATATATATATAAGATAATACCGTATTTACTAGAGTATAAGACGATCTCGCATATAGGACGATGTGTGAATTTAAAGATCAAAATGAAGAAAATTAGATTTATTAATACAATTTAATTTTATTTCGTTTAATCATAAATGAAATATCAAATGCCCGTAAATGCACACATTGTCCCGCAAAAATTACTGGCATTTTAAACTTACGAGTTTCTCCGAATTCTGATTTCCGAATAATCATCTGCTTTCATGTAGGAATGGATTAAAACTTATATCGTGCTCCCGTGTGATTTTGGAATTAAATTCAAAAGCTTTGCTTTTCCTATTGCTATTCATCTTTACTCCTGGCAATACACAAGAAAGATTCATACGACCGAGATAAAATACAGTACTTTTGTCTTTAAACACCACAGGGTGAACGAACATCCGGTAAAAAATGTGAATACACGGTTCACAAAAACTATTGCAAAATCTCAAAAAATTTTTCGCTCGCGCGTACAGGACGACCTAGGTTTTTGAAGCAGTGAAAAATGAATAAAAACCTCGTCTTATATGCGAGTAAATACAGTATTTAACTTACATATTTATATGTAAGTTACCTGATGGGAATATGGCCAATGTTAATGGCAAGATAAATTAGCAACGATGGTCAAAGTTCGTACGAAAACGAAAGATAGCGATAGAATAGTCTTCCAGATATGTCTCTAGAGTCTAGAGTCTAGACTCTAGACAGTCAGGACAATTGCTATTGGCGAAAAGTGCAAAGATCGACCTGAAGCCATCATTTTCTGGAAATTATATTGCTTGAAGAACGTATTTCTTATTTCACTCAGGCGAGCTCGCACTTTTTCTCATGTCTTATTAACAAATAATTTCAAATTTTTGATGATTTGATATGCAGTTTTCTATGTTGATCTATTCAGTACAGCTTTCAAAATTTAGTTTAATTTAATTTAATCTGTAGCCTACTTTTTAAGATTTTTTTAAAAAAGATTACCCAGATTGTTTATATGACGACTCCTAGTCATAACAGCTGCAATTGGTCATATTGAAGAAAGTAAACTTGTTCATTTGTCTAAAATGTTTGAGATAATGTAAACGAAAAAAATAATTTTTTATTCTATAGTCATTTTCATTTGTAAAAGATTTGGTTATTTGTTTCTTTAAACAATTTAGTTTTATTTTTATTATTTTTTTGAAAATCAAATTGTTGTGACTTTCAATAAGCACTTATTTCATTTTAATTGACTTTAAACTGCATTTTTCATTGGTTAATAGTTGAAAAATTTTATTTTAAGAGAGAAGGGAAATTGGTGGCCATATTAGTTTCATATACTTTTAATGTGGCACAAAGTTGGAAATTTGGAGTTTTAGATTGGAAAAGTTAGGCTTTACAGTTCCAAACGAATGGAATATATGGTTATTTCCCCTTTACCAAAGAACGATAGTTCATTGTTCCATCAGTTACTTTATATAAACTTAAAACAATTTTATTTTTATTAGCCTCAATATTTTAGACATGAAGATTTCTCTTTTATTAAATAATTCGATTCACTTAAAAAGAAATTTTATTGTGAATAAAAATAAAAATAACAAACTTACCATCAGTTGCATTAATTACACTGATATATCCATTTTCTCCAATTACTATGCAGTCCATAACACTATCTAAATTTACATCGAGAGAATCACATTTACAATATTTTGGAACAAATGACGTTGATCGCTGCCAAAATATTTTTCCATCGCTAGCACTTAAAGCAATTAATCCAAATTTCTTTGTTTGATCTGTAGTTGTGCTGTAACCAAATATCGCGAAATCCTCATTTAATTTGGATTTTCTTAATACTTCAAGATTTGACGTCATACCTAAACAAAATTTTTAATATTTTTTAAAATTATCAGCAATTTTGAAATATTTATTTATTATATAAAATAAACACAGTGTTTACAAAATATCGTTAAAATTAGTTTACTAATTTCTCACAAAACTTACTAAGGCCTTCAAGATTTAATTTCCATTTATCCACAACTTCAATACTGCTGTTATTAAAAGAATCAGACTGGATATTTTGACATGGTATTAGCCAAGCAAACACTATTACATATAAAACTGACAATAACAGCGAAAATATAAAAAAAAATTTTTGTAATGGTGACATAGAGAAAAATCCAATTTCTTTACTTCCCACAGACTTTGGAGATTTTGACTCGTTCTTGTCGCTGTTTTCTGAATTTTGTTGATTAAATGTACCATCAGAAAAGGATCCATTTTCTGATTGAGGAGATTTCATATCATTCATTACTAGAGGGAAAAAAGTAAAAATTTTATCAAGTATTATACATATAATTCAAATATTATTATAAATTGATAAATTTAAAGTATAACTTCTATGAATAATTTATTTAAACTCGTAATTAAGCTTGAATAAAGTTCACTATCATCAGATTAATACTTCCAAATATGAAGGAATTAAAATCCATATTTTACAGTATGGATGCAAAACAATGGATTCATATATTGCAATAATAGATCCCAGTTAGAATCTGATTAAATTCTCATGATTTTTCATGAGTAATTTGTATTAGGAAGTCATTCCACTATTAATCTGATGATACTTTATTCAAGCTTAATTACAAGTTTAGATTAATTTTTTAATAGACGTTTTACATTAATTGTACTGTACTGTACATAAAGCTCTAACTTGTTAAGAACAGGAAAAAATTAATTTTTTATTTTTATTCGAGCTGGTTTATAATCAGGAGTCACTGCCGTGACTTATAAACTAACTGATTAATATACAGGAATAAGAGATGCCGATTTTCGGGAATCGATTTCTCAGCCCCCCAAACAACTAAAGTAATTCCGAATATCTCCTTCGAAAGAGAATTATTTTCTTAGTCAGCGTGCAAAATTATTTTCTATATTATTATTTTCTACATTTCGTCTCCAAGCGCCAAGCTTATCTTTACGAAAGTAAAAGTGCTCAGAGAAATTTTGACTGTCGTCTAAATTGTCATAAATTTTTACTTGGCGTAATTTTTTTTCATCTCAGATGTTTTTGTTTGCATTGATAATACAGTGGCGCCTCGTATAACGTACTCCTCGAATAACAGACGCTGCGAACAACGGACTTTCCGTTCGGCAGTTACGTGAGGCGAACAACAAACTTTCTGCGAACAAGTGCGTATGATGTTTTCACTCTTTTGCCGTTGCCAATGACAATCTGCTATTTTTATAATATATTAGTATTATTCGTTTTGCAGGTAATCGAACATTTTTAGAACCATCTAAAAATTCTCTAATTAATCTGGAAACAGGGGGACCCAATTCTTGCATCCTGTGAAAACAGGTAAGGTTGACTATAACGTAATAATCTTAATCTTCGCTATCGTTACTTTTGCCCGAGCAACGCCGGGCCTACCTGCTAGTTCAGATATACAGGTATACCTCGCCTTACGTCGGTAATTGGTTCCAGGAAAACGACGTAAGTCGAATTTACCTGNATATCTTACAGTTTATGAATTTGCAGAATATTAATATATTTTAAAATTTCCCTTGAGATTATATTACAATTTATCGTGAATATTTTTATCATGAATATTAAACCTGGATTATATGAATTTTTTTTCAGGAACTGAATGAATCAAAAATAAAATCCTTAACAAGTACTTTTGGTGTTGTTGTTATAAAATGGTGAGCCACTTAAATGTAAAAGTTTAACTATTGTTGCTTCTCCTACTGATGAAACTGCATCCTTATTCACTTGTAAAGTGGTCGTTGCCGAAATTAATTCATGAGAATTGTGAGTATCAATATTACTTACAAAAACTACAAAGTGTTTAAAATTATAGCAATTAATTATTCATAAATTTTTAGAATCGAAATTAAAACGACTTAATAATTCATGATAAATACCTGTTGGAATACTGCTGTAAACATCGTTCAAACAATTCTCATCTAAATTAAAAAATAAAAATAATCTTTATTATTAAATTCGTACATTTAAGTTATTAATATGTGGTACAAGAAAAAAATTTTGAACTAATTTCATTATTTTCTATTACTTTATACACAAATTAAAAATATACAATAATCTAAAGGAAAAAAAAACAAATCAACAGTACTTTAAATATGTAAAAAGACAGCAAAATTATTGACACATTAGACAAACGAAAAAACTCCAATCCGTTTGTGTCTTTTAAGAAGAGAATAGCAAAGTGTATTTCATAAATTACAAAACAATTTTAAGTTTCTATTCATGAGACAAAATTTTAACGTATCTGATCTATATACTGTATATATATATAAAATTTGTAAACATATAAATTATGCTTTTGTTTATTGATTAAAACATAAAATATAAATTATAACAATTATAAAACTTCTTTTGAAGCATACTATGAAGCCGTAAAGTTTATATTCTTAGTTTCATTAGAATGAGCTTTTCGAAAATATTTTCTCTTTTTGATACTGTGAACTTAACTTTGCTTTCATGAAAAAACTTCTATAATTATTTCAGAATTCGTATCTAAACTAAATAATTATATCTTTGTAACGAAATTACTGACCACTATTACTTTTTATATTTAAAAATATATATACATAAAATCAAGTTATAAAGACGAATGCCAGAAATGAAATTTACTTTGCGAGAAACGAAAATCAACTAATTCCTGAGGTGAAGTATAAATTTAAGAAGAAATTTGAAGCAAAAGTCATGCTGTATATTGTCATTTCACCAGCAGGTGCTTCGAAGTCATATTTAAAGAAGGAATCAATTGCAATTGATGCCGACACGTACTAAAACGAATGTCTAAAGAAAATTGTAATCCCTTTTCTTAACAAGCACTACGAAAATGACGATTTTATCTTTTGGCCTGACAAAGCTTCGTCTCACTACGCAAATTCGACCGTGGAATTCCTCAAAGCCAAAAACATTCCTTATGTACCCAAAGAACATAATCAGTCAAATCTATCACAATGCCAGCAAATTGAGGATTTCTTTGAATATTTGGCGTAAATCGTATACAAGAAAGGTTGGCGAGCAAAAAATACCACAACCGGATCCGAAGAATCAACTTTCATTCAAAAAAATCGACACGAGCACCGTCCAAAGGATTTAAGAGTCTATCAAAACAAATTTATGGCGCGTCGCCGACCACGAGCTATATGATCGTGTTCATCAATTCCATACTATTGTAAATAAAATTTCTTTTAAAATGATAAAATATTACCTATTAAATATTATATATCGAAAAATTGAAGTACGCTTTAAAAACAGTCCAAAATTTTTGTCTCATCCCGTATTGCAGAATTTATTTTTGTCGGAATAATAATTAATTATCAATCTTACAAAAATAAATCTTGCAACATGAATGAAATAAACGTTTAACATTGAAAAATAGTTAACAAATTAGGTATTCTTATTTCCTGGACATTATTTCACAATGAAGGATGATGTCTTAAAAACTGGAATGAAATCATCAAATCAACATCATATCAACTTTTCTTCCTTTACAATTAACTATTCCTTTTGTATCGGAGAATCACATTTTTTAGGAGGATATTATTTATCCGTAATAAGCAACTATAAAGTTGGAAAAATAAAATCATCGTCGTCGATGATGGATGGCTCCCCTTCCGATTGCTCATGAGACTCATCACGATCTACAAACCCACACGAATAGAAGAAAAATCTCCTCACGTTGCAAATATAAGACAAAGGATCGTAAAGTGATAACTTTTATATATTTTTATTAGTTAAAAGAGTAGCAAAAGAGGGAAAGAATCCGGCACAAACCTTATGGGAAATGGGTTTTCGGTGGATTTGATATTATGTAGTACAGTCGACCCCCTTATAACACTGTTGATAATTCCGTTTTATATAAATTCCATGTTGTACGAGTCACTTAGATTTTACAAATACGTGTGCCGGGCTGTGAACGGCTCACGTATTTGTAAAATCTAAGTGACTCGTACAACATCAGGACCACATGTTGCGTTAAGTTCCTCCAACTGTGTTAGAGTAGAATGTACTGTACTGTACTATACATAAGATTCAAATTTGAGTTTCTTTTTGACTTTGGATCAAATATGGATAATGAAGTTTATAGGAAAGTTTGTTTAAAAAATACTTGCTACAACTTCAAGGTTTAGTTTCATTGTATAATTTTCCTACATAGAACTGTATAGTGTTTTTGAAATATTTCTTTTTTTACTACAAACACTGAATAAAATTTTACAAATTTATTCTATTTTTCGAGAAATCATTTCCGTTTATTTATGACCTCGTATATTTTATGTATGTTTTAATTATATGAGTTTGTGTGATAAATTTTAAAACAACAGGAAATGAGAATTAAGCTCATTAATATTAATTAAAATTATTCTTAATAAAACGAGAAAAAATATGAAGTACAATAAAAGAGAAACTAAAAAATATAATTAATACAGAATTTGTTGAAATAAATGAAAGTTTGTTCTTATCATTGTTATTTTGCTAACTTCTAAATAATCATCTTAATTATAAATTATACATACTTTGATTGCATAGTCTTATAACTTCAGTTTTAGAAATTGATTGAGGATTCTGACCATGAACACACTGCATTACTAGATATTCTTCTTCATAATGTAATGTTTTAATCAATGGATTCATTTCAGACTTTTCCAAAACATATTGTGAAAGTGGCTTGTTTTCAATAGGCTAATCATAATACAATAAATTATAAAATGAAAAATATAATATTCAATTTTAAATGTAATTAAATACCTTTATACTCATATTGATGCGCTTTAGAAGAATCCCGTCAGTTTCACTAAAAATTTCTGGCAATAACAAAGCTGTTGTTATAAAATAATTGTCATAAGTTAAGTTGGTTATTACACTTCCATTACTGAGATGAAAACTTGTTATCTGTAAACATAAGTAATGAACAAAGAATTATTTATTGTGACATCGTCACAATGCCAGACTGCAATTTTTAATCATATTTTTCATTTATTTAATTTAAAATATATCCTTTCCACCAAAAATTAGTAGTGTCTTGCTCCTGTACAACATACTTTTCCGTTAGCAATTGTCATGCTGATCATCTATTAACTACTTTTTAGGGGAAACTTTTTGAACTGAAATAAAATTACTTTCAGTTTTAAACTGAAGTTCTTATATAGTTAATCGAAGCCTCCCATCCTCAATCTTTCCATATCTGATCTCGGCATTCATCTGTCTAGCTACGTTCTCGAGATTAAGGAAGGATACAGACAGACAAAAAGACGACAGTGGGAAATTCTAGGTCTATAATTTTTTTTTTTCAAATTGCAGCACAATTATTAAAAAATATTATACAGTATTTTGAAATAGTTTTGTGATTTAGATTTCGAAATTCAGATAGTTATGTATACTTCATATTTCTATTTACATACGAGATCTTTCATTGAACAGGGAGGAAAATAATTCAGTTGCAAAAATAGAGCAAGATGAATTATTTGAAAGCACATTGCTGAAATTTTTATAGCTATTTCCTGTTGTAATGATTCAATTTTTACAACTGAGTCATTATATAAATTGCATCATCAGTCAAAATTTAAACTTAATTATTGTGCAGTTATGAATTCTATATAAAATACCGTAATATCGTCAGAGTTATAGGACTATACATGATAATATTATCATTCTACAAAACATTGTGATATTTTTAACGTTTTACATATTGACGAGGACGAGTAGCCTTAAATGAAAGGTCAACTCCGCCGTGGAACTTAATTTCTTCATGTGAGCGCAAAGGGACAAAGTTTAAAGACACTTTTATGTATTGTCTACTTTTAAAAATTTATCTTAAATTTTGTAACTTTATTAAAGTTAAAACTGTATGTTGTGCCATCTGTTGTGAGATTTTATTTTAAAACTTTTCATATTATTAATTATTATAAAATGGCTAAAAGCTTAATTTTGAGGGTAGAGATTTAAAACAAGTTGTAAATGCTAATAACGAGTAAACTCTTTATTAAGTTTGACCTCATTCAAAGTATAACACGTGATCCCTGCTATCTCCTCATCCCTTGACCTTTAACTACTAAAATTTAATAGCATCAATCTCCCTGATACACAAACAATCTCCTGCAAAATTTCAGAAATTTTCGACAAAATGCACAGGAATTATTAAGTTTCAAAGAGGGTGAACAAAATCGTGCCTCCCCCATACACATTAACATATGTAAAGAAAAACTCTCAAATTTGATTTTTTTTAACATTTTTTTGATGTTAAGGTCTCGAGTCCAAAATTATAAAAATCTTTGGATCATTTTTGACTGATTATCATACTTTTCCTCTGCTATAAAAGCTGCTAGAAAATAATGAAATAGACACAGTTTAATAAAAGTGCTCAGCAAATAAACACAAAAATGAAACACCTTAGTTTGTTGCTAAGAAAAATATAATTGAAAACCAAACGTTTTCAGCCCGATTAACAGGCCATCATCAGGTCAAAAAACGAAAATGGAACAGATACGTTCCATGTATAGAATACAAATATTTAAATCAAAATTTAGAACAAAAATGTTTAGAAATATACAAGAGAAACGGAAGAACATATAAAATAAAAAATATCATAAATCTTCCAATAAACTAATTCTAGCCCGAGTTTTTAGTGAACTTTTTAACCATTTAAACAAAATTTATATCTCCATTTTTTGTCCTTTTTGAGCTGGGAAATTATCAATCAGTTCGTTGCAATCAACCTTATTTGAAATGTCATTCTCGATGTATAATATTACCAAGTTACATATGTAGAGTACATACAGAATAAAATTCACAATGTGTGTGGGGAAGATGCCTCAAACATGTCAAATGTGATTTAAAAAGTTCCGTTCGGTAAATTTTGAACAAAAGGATACAGAACGTACGAAGCGTCCAAATGCTGTCGCAAAGAAAAATTGTAGGAAAAAATTGCTAAAAATCGACGAACAACACACAAAATATATAAGCAAACACATCAAAAATAAAGCGAAAAAGCACTGAAATCATACGAGCGTAACGCAAGAGCGAGGAGAGACGACTTGGGAGCACATCAGATTACATTTAGCTTCGAGTGCAGTTTTTCCATTGCACGCGCAGTTCTAACTTTGAAGCATCGTTCGAACTGCTAAACGAATTTTTGTCGAATTTAGAGTTCGAACTATAAAGCATTCGAAGCTAGAGTCGATTGAAGCATATATTTGCAATGTGTAAAAGTCGTACTAAAACTGATGGTGAGAATAAACGGATATAAAGAGTTTACCTTAGAAAAACTTTCGAAACACACTACATCTTAACAACCAAAATAATTCAACTTTTATTAATTAATTATGGAAAAGTGATTTAAATTTAACTATTTTCAAGAAAAAAATTCATTACAGTAAGACACAAAAGGTAGCAATTTGACGAATGATGTAATAAATTGGTCCGTAAAATAGTTTCTCCCACTTCGGCTTCAACGAGAATAGTTAATTTCATGCCGATGGTTGACTAAACTTAAGTAGGGGAGATCGGGGCAACTTCGGCATGCGGGGCAAGTTTGTCAAGCGCTTTTTTAAAAAACAAATTAAAAGGAGACTTTGGTTATAGGTTAGGCAGTTGAGTTTTATTGGTGGCTTGTTGAGTGTAGTGTTTTTATTGTTCTCCAACAAGCGTAGTTGAATTATCAAGCAAATTTTCATTTTCGTTCAATTCCATATAATATTTTTTTTCCATTTATATTGAATTGGCAGGTTTTGTTATAATTCCATGATAACGAAAGTTACTTTTCCTGTTAGAAGGATGTAACTTCAACTTATTCACGTGGCCAGATCGTGGCTTGGCATTCTGTTCTCAGGGTTGTACTTAATGTTTCGAAATCATGACTAGCGGGGTAAGATCGGCAACATAAAGCCACATTAGAAGCAAAGGATAAAAATCAAACAGATGATAAATGAAAACATGTTTGCATTTGTTATTCATGTATATATGT